ACATTAAATATGTGAAGTCTATGGTTCTCTCAACATTTGGGCTGGACAGCTAAGTAGGCCTGCTGATGTCTTTGTTGAATCTCCAATCCAAGGTGTGGTATAAAGATTTTAACTGGGACTTATGGAAGAACCTCTGTGGGCCACTGTGGGTCCAGTAAACACAGGCAGGTCGTCTGGATGCAGTAAAGGACACGGAGGAGCATCAGTCTGTGCCCTTGGGAGTTTTCGCTATAAACATGCCAGAGCAGAGATAATGACCTCATGCTTCCAAGGGAACGTCTTCACTCAGCTGTCCTAAAGTCACCTCAAACTCAACACATCCAAAATAGAAAACAGTCCTCCTCACACATTCACAGGGTTAGAACATTCTCCTATGTTCCAGGACCAGGAATTTCATTTTTAGGCCAATGCCAGCTAGGTTTTGGTTCAGGACAGTTAACATCTTATGTGTCTATCTGCTGATTTTACAGTCATGTAGTTACCCCTTCTAGTAGCTTCTCCAATACTCTAAGTTCATCTTCTCTCTCATTGGCCACCTTCTGTGTTGCTAAAGGGGTCATTTATTAAAATACCTGATCAGGGATACCACTGTACCCCCAAAAACCTTCAGTCATTCCTTGTTGCCTTCAGGAAAAAAAATACCAACATTTGAAACCAACTCTTTGCATGATTTGGTTAAGTGTTGCTTTCTCAAGTTTGTGTGAGACTAGACCATTGCCATGGGTGGTCCGAATGCAAATCCCTATGTTGGAAACCAGTGTCTAGGACGATAATATTTAGAGCTGTGGTACTGGGACCTCATTAAGACAAGAGTGCTCTGACCTCACAAATGGGGTTAGTGTCCTCATCAAACAAGTTCCATTGCTCTTGTTACCAGGGGATGAGAGCAAGTGGGGAAACCAGAGAGCATTCATTAGACAGTTAATTTGCTCTTTCCTTGATATTTGATTTCCTAGCCTCCCAAACTATGATGAGTAACAGATTTCTCCCGTTTATAAATTACTCATTTAATATATCTTGCCATAGTAGCCTTAATTAAGATAATCAGTGATGAACTAAATCTGCTTTGCTCAAACGTGCTCCATGCATTCAACCTCTAAATTCATTTTCCTTCTGTTCTTCCCAACACCCTTTACATTTGGACTACGCAGGAAGACCCTTCAAAATTACCCTCTTGGGGATATAAAATAGAAGTCAGCATTTGGAGTTCCTATGTTCAATCCTATGCAGTCCGGCAGGATGCTCCTCATCCACATGCATAGTCAAACCACAGAACCAGCAAAGCTGAGAGAATAAAGGATGACGATAATTGGCCAGTTGTCAACGGGCAAGACTGTCCCCCAATGTGACATATTCTGAGGACAGAGTCAAGCTATAAATATAACGCATGCATCAGTGATAGCACAATCATGGGCAAGAACTGATGTAGGGGATGTAGACAGAGATGGAGAATTGAAAATCTTTAGTGGTGATCTTTATTTTGCAATTAACCTAAAGCAAAGACCTTTAATAATTGCGGTAGCCCTCAAAATTCAAACTATTGCAGGGGAAGATGAGATTTAGAGAGTGAATTACATTTCTAATTTTCTCACCCTTCATGTTGTCTCTTCCAAATATATTTATCAAAGTGCATTTTTGAAGAGAGGGGTGGGGAACACCAGTTACACAAGCAGAGCTATTCTCTGCCCAAATGAAGAAATTGTTTAAACCCGGTGCATTGTTTCATAAGCAATGCTTCCTAGTACAGCCAGAGCCAGTAAGGGCTTAGGTTATTAGTTATGTAATCACTGGTTCCTCAAACTGCAGTTTTGATCTGAACACACAGTTTCAATTAGTTACTTCAGCTTTTTGCCTTGAGGTGTTTTTTGTTTTTAGAATCAAGGGAAGCTCAGATAATCACAGCGTTATGGAACTGCTCCTGCTTGCACAAATAACACATCTGACCCCTGAGAGACGATTTAACTACAGCTTTGAGCCCCATGCTCTTTCCATGGCCCCACGTATAGATTGAATCATGCGGCCTCAAACGATATGTTAAGTCTTGACTTCTAGTGATCTGTTAATGTGACCTTACTTGGAAAAGGGGTCTTTGCAGACATAATGAAGAAATACTTTGCAATGAGGTCATACTGGAGTTGTGTAGACTCTTAATTCAATCTGACTGGGCTCTTAAAAGAAGATGGAGACACAGAGACAGGCACAGACAGTAAACTCCCTCTGACAACAGATGAAGGTCAAACAGCAGACACAGATAGTTGCTACCAGAAAGTAGGAAGAAACAAAAGATGGATGTACCCAGAGTCTCAATTCTCAGTGGGCATGTGGTCCCTGACAGTTCAAGTTTGGATGCCTATCCTCCAGAATGAAGACAGAATAAATTCCCATTTTATTTCATCCAGCTTGTAGTACTTAGTTACAGAAAATTCTAGACAATAACTACTACAGAAAATTCTAGATGATAAATACACCTCCTCTGATTGTTAATTTGTATTTTTATCAAGTTGTCTCATGAAATCGTGAAACATCACATTGCATCTGAAAACCTGAAAATCTTCTCACTTGGTGAGTGTCACAGTCCTTGCTCTTTAGACTGGTTCTGATGGCAATGTTGACTTCGGAGGCATTATCATCCATGGTGTCACATGAAATCTTTTGTCTGCCAAGTTGGTTAGTTAAGAACTCTTAGCCAGGCGTGGTGGCACATACCTTTAGTCCTAGCACTTGAGAGGCAGACCTCTTTGAGTTCCAGTACATCTTTGTCTACATGGTGAGGTCTAGGACAATCAGGGCCATGTAAAGAGACCCTATCTCAAGAAAAACCAAACCAAACCAAATCAAAAACTCTTAAATGCTGAACATTTAGTGTAATGGAGTGCTGGTGGTCATCCAAAAGGACTTGGCATGGACAGAAAAACTGATTCCCCAGGAAAGAGAAGATGATGAAGCTGTGGAAAAAAAGGAAATCAACATCCCTCTCCCTTTGGGGATGGGAGAGGCTTAAGGCTAAGCAATGACTGGCTTGGGGATGAAATACAGTAGATCTGCCTGTTGGTGCTCAAGGCATGATCATCTTGAAGACATTCACTTTTAGGGTCAATAGTCAGAAGAATTTAATAATTCAAATACACATTTGTTTGCCAAAAGTATATTATCTTATTATGCTAGCTTATGCACAACACATTTTTTTAAGGACAGAGCTAAGCAATCAGGGAAAAGAATTCTGGATGAATGTTGTGAATGTTAAGATCTAGGCATTTTCTACTCCTTCCTTGAGTCTGGCAAAGAAGCAGAAGCAGAGGAAAGGACTGGTTACTTAGGCATCTGAAAGGTGGCCTTGGACACCAGGCTCCCAGTTACCTAAGGATTCAGGGAGTGGGGCTTCCAGATATTAAGTAACCATCTCATCTTGGTCCATGAACATTCAGAAACAGCACTGTAACCCAGAATTGGAGCTGTCTCCTTACACACGTTAAGCAGTGGGAGACCTCAGAACTTCTGAATGATAGAGGCCCAATGCAAGGGGCAAGCATCAAGAATGACTACCATGGAATTTCCAAGATGCTCAAGCACACCGGGGCTCTTTTAAAGGAGACAGAGCGCATAGCATTCATTGCACATCCACCTCAACTTATGAGCCATGATTCATAACCCAAGCACTTGTTTCCATGTCTGTCTTCATCACTGGACCGTGAGCTTCTCCAGGGGAAAATCCAGTGTCCTTCTGTCTTTGCATCCTTTCTGCTTGCATTGTGTGGTTTGCAAAGCAGTTCCTAAACAAATGTCTCCAAATGAATGAGTGAAGAATGAATCAATGAAGGAGTCAACCAGCCTCTAAGGGCTCTTCCTTTAGTGAACATCTATGAAGGACACAGACAAAACAGCGAATCCTCCAGTCTTCTTTGGGGAGGGTTGGTGGTGTGCATGCATGTGTGTGTGTGTAGTTAACATACAAGGGCTTCCTCTTTAGCCTTTTGATTGAAAAGGGTGAGGGAATGAATATATTTTCTTATTGTATTTATGTCCACTAACTACCTGGCTACACAGTGATAAATGGAAGAATCAGGCTGATGCCAATACTTAACAATTTACACAGGACTGTTGGAAGCTATTCAAAAGTTTCTTCAGGGAAAACAGTCAAGAAAACAGTAGTTCCCCCTACACACACTTGTTTGTTTGTTTGCTTTGTTTTGTTTTGCTTGCTAACTCAAAATTTCACTAGCTGACTGCTTTTCCTAAGCTTCTGTTCTCAGAGGTCATACTGAAGGCCAGGTCGCTTTGGCTGACAGTGTCTCAGCTTCTGATGGTGCAGTTTCCTGGGTTTTGGGGAATCCCTGCACCAGGACATGAATTTCCTATCCTAGGCCAGACTCTCGAGGCTTCACGTGATTTCTTTCAGGTGCAATCAATTATTGGATCATTTACTTAGCAGAGAATATAATGAGTCAACCCCCCAAATGTCTAATGGACAATTAGAAAAGGCAAACTTCGATGTAAATTATGAAGCCAGTCACTGCTCTTATTTTTTTTCTTCCCAGTTCCTTTACAGAATAGCCCTGTTATGTTACACAGAATGGCAATCTGATTTAACAACAAGAAGAAGGGGTGTATGATAACAAATCCCTTCAGAACAGTAGGATTTCACTTGCTTATCCAGGGTGACTTAGCTCCTCATTAAATTATTTTTGCTTAGAGAAATTGACAGGCTGAACATCGGTTTCTGATTCCAGTGATCTTATTAACCGTCTGTTATAGCCAAAATACCACAACTCTTCCAAGTGGAAATCCACGGAGGCCAGGAACTTCCTTCACCTCAGGGCTATTTGACCATCTTCCTTCTTCCTCCTTCTATACCCTTTGGAGGTAAGAGTCATCCTATCCCTTCCTTTGCAGTTTTGCTGGAGTCAGAGGGATTAGGCAATGGGCGTGGACTGCAATATGCCAGCCCCACCCATGGGTCAGGGCTCATGGCCAGGTTACTCACACAGAGGTCACCATGGCAGTCTGCTGCCATTCTGCCAGGGGGAAAGCACTAGTCAGACCCAGGTTCTGGTACTATTGGCCTTGGGAACCAGTTTAGCAGGTAACCAGGTGGATGTTGTGACCGCTGAGGAGACCCCTCACATACTTCCATGTTCAAGACTGGAATATAGGAATTTATAACCAAGGGAGATAAATACCAGAAACAAAGGGAGAATGGAAGAAAAATATTTTAAAATTTACAGGGTAAGTAATTTTGCTTCTACCAAAAAGAAGGAATGTGTTTTAAATACGGGATATTGATTACATCAGTAAAGCAAGTATTAAATTGGCCATAGATTTAATAATAGTATTAGAATAGAACTATACAAAGAAATAATGTTAAATGGAAATTTAATATAAACAAAACCACCATCTTTAACTGAAATTGTCTTACATATTTTGGGGCTCACTGTAGAAGTGCAAGAGAGGTTCCCCTACCTTTTTAATTTCCTCTAAATCCCCCAGAAATGTTATAAACTGTGGTGTTTTATATTTGTTTCCCAACCTATTCTCCTAATTTTCAATTTCCTATTTTCTCTCATAAAAACTGTTTTCAGTCTTCATCTTATGGATTTTTTAAAAACTTACTCCCTGCATTTAAGGACAAGCTTTGGAGATATAAGTGTGTATTTTCAACACTGTAAGCTTGGGCCAAGTTCCCACTGCGCTTGGGTGGAGGAATCCAGCTGATCCTTGGTCCTGCTTGCATCCATTGCCTGTGTAGTCCCCTCGAAACTCTTTCGTGCAAAACTGCACGAGAATAACCAGCGGCTGTTCTAACTAGGCCAAAGGTGCTTCTTGTTTGTTTTCCGGTCGAGTCTCTGTTGTTAGGCTTCTTTCATGATGTTTATAGTATGACGAGTGCCCAGCCATGTCAGTGTGCTGCTGGAAGGGTGATCCCACATCACCTAGTTCTTGACAGTCTTACCTGGTGCATGGCAGGTGCCCAGAGAATCTGTGTCAAACCAAAGAAAGAAAATGATGGTAGAAGTAGGCTAGGCAAGGGGAAAGGAAGAAAGAGCTGCTCACGTCTATAAACAGGAAAATGAAATTAGGCCAGCGGGGCCTCTGCAGGGCTGCAGGTAGGCACCCTGGTAAACGAATGGAGGCTGTCCTCAAGAACCTGTTTGCTCTTATTGTATTGGGGCAGTGTAGCCAGTGCTAGCGCCGACTGGGGATGCAGGAATGGGCTTTAAGTTTTGCTGCAGGCTCACTGTTCTGGACCAACTGGCCTTGGATTGAAAGGCCCTGGACTGAACAGCCCTGGACGGGGTTTCCTGATCAGGCTGATAGGCAGGTTTCCTGCCTGCTAGGCTCTGTGTTTGTGAGAGGAAAGGTTGCAATGGGTGAAGAGCCATAGGACAAAAGCTTGAGCAGCCAAAGCAAGGAGGAGGTTGCTACCAGAGTTAGCAACCCAGGCCCATCCTCCCAGCTCCCAGCTGTCCTGCTGTTTGTGTATTTGTTTATTCCTGTGCACATTTTGTCGAGCTCTCTGATAATCTGGGAGATTTGCAAAGCAATGAGAGGAGGTGTGAAAAGCAAAGGGAACTACACAGTGACAGCTGGTGACGCCTTCCTGTCTTTAAAACATCCTCAGTCATCATGATCCAGTGGCCACCACTTGCTGTAAGAGAGTTCCATTCCACATTTTCCAAAATGCAACAGCAGCCCTTTGCGTTTTTCTGAAACTGGTATCAGGCCTACCCATTGAACGACAAGACATTGAAACCTGTCTGCAAAGAACTGTGTCTTGAGGACTAATCCACCTCTGCTAAGACCCAAGACCCGACAACACCCAGGCCCCAAGTTGAGCTGAGCTTGCAGAGGAGTGGAACCCATAAATAGTTAAGAACCTCCAAGGCGCGCCCCTCCCCACTAAAGAGGAAGTAAAAACAGACTACTCTCATGACCTAAAAACACACATAAAGCTGCAAAATAATTAACTTTTACCTGGCCTTTAAACAGAACTTTTTACAGTAAGAAGCCTTGGTTATTTCTGGCTTGAATTTCCATTTCAGCATTGGAATCAAATAAACTTGAGAGTAATTGGGCACGCTCAAATTTCAAAGGCCAACTTTTAACATGAAAATGATTGTTTTGGCTTCTTAAATCATGAGGAGTTGTATCAGAGTTATTACTATTTAGCCTGAAGAGCCCGTTACAAAATAGGAAAGTTAATTCTTTAAAATGTAAATATTTTCAATACATTGAAAAAAGTTTATCAGTACTATTTTCGGCTTTAGAGGTCATTGGCCTGAATAGTAACTTGTGCTGTTTGTCTGGGTAAGGAGGAAGGAAGGGAATTAAAAAAAAAAAAGGCTTGTTCCTCTCCACAATTAACACCCAATGCTGAGCCTGAAGAAATGAAATTGATTGTAAGTTCTGGCTTAGTGGAGAAAAGCGACCTGATCAGCAGTGATATTTCTCTCCTTTGCCCCCAACTTTCCGCCTCTGTAGGCACTTTGTCTCTCTCTCTCTCTCTCTCTTTCTTTCTCTCTCTCTCTCTCTCTCTCTCTCTCTCTCTCTCTCTCTCTCTCTCTCTCTCTCTCTCTCTCTCTCTCTCTCTCTCTCTCCTACAATTGTGAACCTACTGTGTACTCAGGACTGTCATGGCGAGTACATCAGACTTCAATCAGAAAAACAAAAACAAAATACCAAAAAACACTGCCCCCTCCCCCCAGTCTTCAGAGTATTTTTTGTTTTTTGTTTTTTTGTTTTTCGAGACAGGGTTTCTCTGTATTGTTTTGGAGGCTATCCTGGAACTAGCTCTGTAGACCAGGCTGGCCTCGAACTCATAGAGATCCGCCAGCGTCTGCATCCCGAGTGCTGGGATTAAAGGCGTGGGCTACCAACGCCCGGCCAGAGTATTTTAATGGAAACAGAAAACAAAACTTCCACATACCCTACCAGAAGGTTCTGAGACCCTGAAAGAGTCTTGGAGACAACAGGACTGCAGAAGGAGGGCTCAGGAGAGACACTTTCCAGGACGCTTCAGTTTTGAGTTGGTTAATGCTAAAAGAAATTCGACCACTTCGAAGTACAGGGAGAGAAAAATCACAAGACACAGAGCATCTAAAACGCACGACGACCCAGGTAGAATGTAGATATCTTGTGTATCTTTGATTAGGGCCCAAGGCTTGCTATGGAATTTCTCCATTTTCCTTTGGGAAAATGGAGGCCACTGGACGTGATTAGTTACAAGGGCGGCACAATCAGAATTTTAAAAGACCACCCTTTCATGGTCTAGAAATCTAAGGAGACTGAAATAGGGAGTCATTTAGTAGCAGGCATTTTCCTTCTAAATAAACCTGAACCTGAGCGTTCTTTATCCCTCAAACCTGTAGCTTTTGTGCAATGAGCTGAGAAGAAAGGATAAGGTAGTAACTCGTCAGATTCTAGGTAAACCAGAACCCCAGCTTGCTTCGCTGGACATCAAACATAGCTCTGCTATTCCAAAACTCCTTTGTTTTTATTTTAAAATGATTCAATATATCAGTGTTAACCATTCTTACAGTACTTAAAGAATAATTGCATGGGCCAAGAAGGCTTGATAGAATCAGTTCCTGCAAACCAAGTTGGTGAGCTTAGTTCAGTGACAGAGCCTGTCTCAGGAAATAAAGTGGTGAATGATTGGGGAGGACACTCCGTGTCCACCCTTCCCTCAACACACATGCACACTTACACATGTGCACACATACACACACACACACTAATTTCAATGTCACGAGCATCTCCTCTGGCACTAGCAATTAGTAAAAAGGATAAGAAAAGCACGAGAAATATTTTTTAGCCCTTTAAATCTGCACCATTCCCTGGCCAATGTAGATATATTATCTTCATTTTCAAGAATGTTCAAAGGGCTGAAAGTTAATTTAAAAGGGAAAAAATGCTCGTTAACAGTCTCACTTTAATTCTACTTGTAGGAAATAAAGGGCATGGAAATTAGCACCTATCTCAGCAGAGGCCTGAAACACCACCATGTGAGGAGACAGGGTGTGATCTCAGGAGCCACAGCAATGAGATTTCAGAACCGAATATAGCCTCCAAGATGGAGCTGGGCCTGGAGTGGAAACAGCCCATCCCACAGCTAAAGGAACCCCCGGAACAATCCCACAGCTAAAGGAAAACCCCGAAACAATCTCCATTCATTCCTTGGTACCTTGTATTAGCTCTTCTAGGCTTCAGGGATCATAACACTTGATCGTGGTGGGATTTTCCCCAAGCACACTTACTTAAAAAAAAAAGGGGTAACTTTTACATTGAAATAGTTTGTAATTTAAAAAAAGGAAAAAAACAAAAAACAAAAATAAGGAATTGGTGTAGCACTAGACGTAAGATATAGGCATAAGAAGACATCAGATGAACAGAATGGATCTCACACAGAGAACTCCAGTAGAAAGTTACATGTACAATTTGCAGCTCATATATATTAATAATGCAAAAACTCTATACATTTATTCATAATAATTGGCTGAAGCTAATTTGCCATGGAGTAATTGAACCAGAACTAATTGTTGCTGTCTGTACTTTATTTCAGTGCTATCCGTTTTTATACCCAAATGTTATGCTGTCAGAATCTAATACAGCCTTGATGTCTGGGTTTCACGTGTACGTGTGAAGTACACAAAGGGATACCATGTCTGAACACAGCGCTTTTGAAAAGCACTCCTTAATGTTTTGCCTTTAATTAAGGTATGTATACATTAATTATAAAGCAAAGAATTTAAATGATTTTGGCTCATCAATTACTGGTACATGCAGGGTGATTTCTAATTGGTCTTAATAATAAAAAGCTGAGTCAGATATAGGAGTAAATGCTGAAAGATCAGAGAAGCAGAGCAGCCAACCAGTAGTTCTTACCTCTGCCGAATTCTCAGACCAAATGGGCGATCCTGTCTCTAGGACTCCTCAGACTGAATGCCCTGAGCCCCTGTCTCCTCTTATAGTCCCCTCTCTGCCCAGCCATATCCCTTCTGGTCTCTTCCTCCCTAGTACTGAGATTAAAGGTGTGTGACTCCCAAGTACTGGGAGTTTCTCTTTTAGACTGGTGGCTGGCCCCGAACTCTGATCTTCAGGCAAGCTTCATTTGTTAAAGCACAAACAATCACCACTGGTGCAGATTTGTCCCATGCAGCCAGGTGTGGTGGCACATTTAGTATCAGCGCTCAAGGCAGAGGCAGAGGCATGCTGCCAAGTTTACATGGTGAAATTGTATTGCAATCAATAAGTGATAGATTTACTTTTTGGAATGAAAATCATTCTGATTATTTCTCAGACAAAAATCTTCAAAATTTATAATGAACCCTCGAAATAGAAAAATAAAAATACTAGTGGAGGCTCCCAGCTTTATGGATAGCTCCAGACCCCTGGAGAGTTACTTTGTACAACTACGAGGTAGGGAACCTTTATCACTTTTCAGCCTTTATGTAAATAGTTTAACAAAGCCATTAATTACTAGTGGAGGCATTATCCAGTTGGAAAGATCTATCTTTCCCTTAGCCTATTCACATATTAATCTAGTCTGCTAAGGTTCAGAGCCTACCCCTCTCTCACGCTGGTAAACTCAAAGCTACAATTGCATCAGTCTACACAATGAGAACTCTGCTCTGTAAAATCCTACTTTGTGATGCATGGTCCTCTGACACTGCTGTGTTCGCTGTTCCAAGATCCTCAAGTGTGTAGACAAGTTAAGACAGGCTTTCCAACCTCCACACAGTAGTCATTCCTTATGTTAAAGCTGGGCTGTTGAGACAGCCCTCACTTATAACCAGTCAGCAGTACAACTCAGTCCTCTGCAACTCACAAACATTTAGTTAAGGTTAAGCCCATCATTTTGGAGGCAGATCTCAAAATTTAAAGAGAACTTTAGGTTACACTTTCCAAGATAAAAAAGAAAAGGAAATAAATGGGTTTTATTTTGCTTTTTTTTAAAAAAAAATTTTAAGCAAAGTTTTACTCTCTGGTCCAGGTTGGTCTGAAACTTAGTATGTTGTTCCAGAGTGCTGGAATTATAGGTGTGAGACACCACACCCAGTCCGAAATCATTTTGAAACCTCAGGTAAGGTATACCCAGGCTGCTAACCAGTGAAAATTCAAATTTGACTGTAAGACTATAGAAATAGGCAAATGTTGTGTGTGTGTATGTGTGTGTGTGTGTGTGTTTAACTTAGACTCGTTGCCATAGCAATTTCTGAGACTTCCTCATTTATTTCCTGTCACAGGTAGCAAGAGTTTATTTTGTAGAGTATCACATACCTAGGTCTCACTATGGTGTAACATGCACACTCTTCCCTTCCACAAAGCGCTTGTGACTTATGGGAAATTTTTTGATAACGATCTTCTCCCTTTGGGAAAGTGTGGATAGTGAAGATGATATTGCAGGACCAAAAAAGCAAAGGAAAAAGAGGCCAAACCAATCAGTGGGTCTTTCTTTGCTGTCCCTGTTCAATTATGTGAGACGAAGCAGATCTTGTCTTTATGTTTGCATATGTGGAATTCTACAGATCTTTGTAAGGAGGAGGGTTTTAAGGGCAAAACAAACACTCGATGCCTTCTAGGAGGCAGACTCCATGTACAAATTTAGACTGTACTAAAATAACCAGTTGTCTTGTGATATGATCTTGATGTAATATGCTTTTTAAAATGAACCAGGGAAATGCATTTTATTAGTGTACTTGGTGGCACAGAATCTCAGAAGGTGTACACTGTGCACGTGGCATGTGTTTTGAAAATCCAGCCTGCTTTGGGAATCAATCTGAAGATATTTCCTCAGATGTGTCTGAGCCTTTAGTTACAAGAGGCTTGAGCCACAAGAAGCCAAACCCAGCTAACTTAGAGTTGTCAGGTACATTTTTCCATGTTTGACAGTTACGATCAAATATGGGCGTTATTTCCCTCAAGCAACCTTGATCATCTGTCGGCCCTCAGCTCATTGTTGGGTCTATAACTGTCTTACTTCAGACCAAACTGTGGGTATGCTGTCAGACTTACAGAGAATTGGGAGTAAGGTGTGTTATCTTTTTCTATATTATCCAACCATGAATGCTTGTTCCAAGAACAAAGACCACCATGTTTTGCAGTATGTTATCGAACAAACTTTCCAGTCTTGCTTGCTTCCTTAGCTCACCCAAAAGGGCAGCCTCCTTTGCCCTTTAACCCACAAAGTGAGAATGGCACCTGTGGCATTAGGAAAAGAATGCAGTTTGTCTGAAGCAATAACTGACACTATGATTTTCCTTTCTTCTAATAAGCAAATATAACATGTAACATTTTCGAGGAAAACCTCATTTAGTCGTGATCAAGGATTACTCTGCACTGAAGGACTGTGTGTGCTTAGTAAATGGACGTGGTGGTAAGTTTGCTTTGGGGTAAAAACTAAAGCTTCTAGCAGCTTGATGGGATAATGTGTCCTTGAGATAACCCCGGTAATGCCCCTCCCCACGTGCTTGAGCCAGCTGATCCTTTTTGTGACATGTAAGAGGCTTCAGGGTCTGAACTCTGTTGTTTGTTGCAGGAGTTTATTTATAGCTTTGCAGTCTACGACGGTTAATGTTTATTATACAAATCACTCTTCCTTACTTTTATGGGTCCTGTGGTGTAGTCTACATGGTTATGTAAGCCATGCAGTTAAGAATTCCCGTGCTCCTTCTCAGTTTATGAATAATAGCATTCTTTTACTAACACTACATTTAAGCACACAGAGACTGACAGGAGTCGAAGGGATTGTTCAAGTTTCTGGTTTTGAACTGAATAAGGAACGGTCGTTTAGCAATACACTAAAAACGTCATGAAATAGCCTCTTAATGTATAATATGCATACCTGCACATCATATATATATATGGCATCCTTGGTTTGTAATGCAAATGGTGATACATACAGTACAACAAAAGAGAATCGATTTACCGAAATCCGAGAGGCAAACACACGTGGTAGAATGTAACTCTACAAGGAAATGTGGAGGGCCGACAGAGCTCTTACGTAACCTTCACTTTAACAAATCTGTGAGGGCAGATGTCATAGCAGTTGCTGGAAATCTTTCTAAGGTTTCCAGGATGTGTTTCCAGCCATTTTTGTAAGCACCTACTGTATTGTGCAATCTATATCCAGCATTGACTAATTTATATTAGGTAGTGTCTTGAGGCTGACTCAGGTCCAGTTCTCCTTAAAGGGTTTCGACTGAGCAGTGTGTGGGACTCATAGGCAAAGAGGCTTCTCCAGGCAGGACAGAGCATCGCCTCGGGAAGGTCACAAGGGTCAAGCTGATTACCTCCTCCGGCTCTGGCAAGCTCAGGGCTCAGCTGGGTTACCCAAGTTCACAAGGAGCTATTGACATTCAGCTGCAGTGCTCTCTCTCATTACCAGACCAGCAGGGAACTGTCTGGGCTTCAGATTAACTCTTCTGTATCCTGTTTCAAGATTTCTGGGAAGCCAGAGCCAGAAATCGTATGTACCTCAACTTATTCCTGGTTGTCATTCAAGAAGTGAATCTGTGCGTTAATGCTGGATTCACCTTTCACAAGTGGAAACAGCAGTACCCACGATCATTTCAAGAAGCACCAGATGAAACAGGAGTAAATACATTTGCTTCATGTTTAACCATGCTACAGTCTGAGCTTATTTATGAAGTGAAAGCACAGGAGAAATGGTTTCATGTTCCCACTGAAAAGAAAGCAAGTCCTACTTAATCCTGAATGAATAGTCACTATTTTTCTTTTAAAGAACAGTAATTGTTGCAACTCACCGTCACTTAGCCGTGAATTCATTAGCTAAGTGAAGTCCAGTCTCAGGGAAATACAGTCCCCAACGTTAGGACACAGACACAGGTATCTGTGTCTTAAGCCTGTTGCTTCGGGCTTTGATCTCCTGCCGACACATTATGATCTTCTAGAAGCGACTTAACCTGTTTGACTCCGTAAAATTATTTGTAAATTGAGAATAATATTTGGTGAATCCACAAAGCACGTTGCTATGGTAGCCACTGTTATGGCTAAGGACCACTACAGTGGAACTGTAATTGCAAGATTGTCCTTGCTTAGTGTTCAGCCGGCCCCAGAACACATGTTATGTCATATCCTTGGCTCCCTTATGCCTGACATCTGACAGAATGGGTGATGAGCTGTCCTCAAGTTAGGCTGACTTCTCTTTACCCACTGTAATTTCTTTTTTAAAGTATTAAGTTTCCTTTCAGGGCTGAGGACTAGTAAGATAACAGCCTTACCCATAAAGGAGTAAGAGTTTCCCAGAAGATGTGGGAGATTTGAGCAATGTGGCCAGGTCTGAAAATCCAAATGTATACTTTAGAGCCCTCTTGGACTTTGGAGTTGTTACTCAGTTGAATTCTTAGCTTTGTCAGATGACTAAGCTAACTGCCAAAACCAAAAGTGACTCCTATAGCCTCTCGTTTGTGACTTCGATCACAAAGGCAAACAGAAAGCCCTCCGATTTACCTGGTTTGGCACGGCTGGCCATTCTCTTTACTATCTCTTTAGATGACCGCGAATGGAGTGCACTGGGTAATGGTAATGAGTTTTAGCTTTGTGTGACCATGTTTATTCCTTCCCAACTTCAGCTAGTCTGTCCTTCCCAACTTCAGCTAGCCTCTGGGGTTTTTAATTCAACATGCTAAACTAAAAATCACTCCTCTCTGAGTCCCTTTGTCCCAAGTATAGATCTGTCATTTACTCGGTTCATGGGTTCCCAGCTTCCAAGTCATCTTCAGTTTCCTGCTTTCCTTTCACCCGCACACTTTTCTCTCCCAACCCCGTCTCATCAATTCTGTGCTCAGCCTGTGCCTTAATCTGCTATCACCTTCTTAACCTTGATCTGTTTGAGACAGTACCACAGTGTTTCTCATTCCTCTGTGATATCCTCAGAGGTTAAATGCTGAATTCAGGAAGGTTTCATTTTAACTGCAATTCTCTGGCTCCAATTTCCTTTGTGTCCTCCTCTGACTGTGATATTCTACTGTTTTCTGGAAGCTTTCTGAGTCTCCACTCCTCCCCCAGAGAGTATCCACAGTTTACACGTGGATGTCTCCTGCTCCTGCATTTGCTTGTGTACAGAGGCTACCTTATAACTCTTCAGGGATCAGTTCATATGTACCCGTAGGTGCCGACAAGCCATTCGCTAGCTAACCTGTCATGTGGTCTGTGGCTTTTAAGACGAGCTTTTTTTTTTTTTAAATTTATTTTCCAGTTTAAATTTAGATAAGAAACAAGGTTGCTTTACAAGTCAGTTCCAGGTCCCTCTCCCTTTCCCTCCCCTCCTCCCGTGCCCTCCCCCCAACTCCCCCCCGTTATCCCCTCATTCCCCCAGGGAGGGTGAGGCCCTCCATGGGGGTGTCCATAGTCTGTCATTTCATATAGGGCAGGGCCTAGACCCTTCCCCAAGAGTTCAGGGTGAGAGTGCACCTCACATTGTTCTATGGGAGTCCAAAGTCCGTGTGTATACTTGGGATGGGTACTGATCTGCTGCCCAAGGCTCAATAGATTACCTAGGCCTCCTCACTGACACCCAGATTCAGGGGGTCTTGATCAGTCCCATGCTGGATTCCCTTTCTTAAGGCATTGGTTAGCAGCACTATAGCTACCTGTGTGTTCCCACTACTTCTAAAGTCCTAGTTTGAAGATGGAGGAGATGGCCTTTTGTGGAGACTGGATCCTGTGCTCTGTAGCATGGTAAATCATGACAGTAGATTATTATGTATTATTTACTACAACTATATAAATGAAATAGAATAAGGGTTATCTACCCTACATGTTTTTGAAATATTTCAAATTCTAAGATATCCAACTTAAGTGACAACCACTTTCCCCCATCATTCACTCTACTTAAATTTTCTTTAAAAAAAAGTACAAAATAAATAAGTTTATGGACAACAGAAGCCTACTGAATGAAGATTACAATTTAAGTGAGAGTTAATGACATCAAGAGTGGAAACCCCATTGGATTGCAGAGAGAATGGGAAAATCAAACAGTGAGATCAATGTATTCTCATTAGACTTTCAATTAGTAAGTTGCAGGAGCAAATGGTCTCCTCGGGAATATGCAAAGTGAAG